TAAACGGGACAAAAAGATGGGAATGTTTGGTTTCTGTCAGGATGAAACCTGCAACAACTGGTTGTTCCCTTGTTTTCAGCAGCAACACAACACTGACGTAGCATCATCTTCTAAGTTGATGTGTTGAACTTGTGATCTAACCATTTCTTATTTCCACCCTGAGAGCACCATGATCCTTCATGCGGAGCGGTGTCTGTGTCCACCTGATGACTCCGGTAATAACTGTCTTTTAGCTGTGTTTCACTCAGCAGAGCTCTAACACCTTCTGCTGGTTTCAGTCAGAAACCCAAACTGTGCGCTCGTCACTTTAGAGAAACACTCCTGTTTTCCAACAAGAAGCGATTCTGGTTTGAACAGGCTGCACTGATCGCCCACTCAGACATAATGATGTTTTCACTCTCAATTATCATGAAAGCCATCGAAATGAGTTTCTGGCGGCACCATCAGTGCTCTTACTGTCTCGTGTACAGCTGACACACTGAGCTCCGTTGTATCACAGCTCATGGTGCTGTGTACTGAAGGCTCTCCTGTGGCATTAAGCACACACTGCATTTCTTAACAAGGACCTGATGTGCTGCAGTGATCAATCAGCTCCATCACAACCCCGTCCCCACGGGTGCCAGCACTGTGCAGTCAGGTCATGAGTAAGTCAGGTTTGAATAGTGGCAGGTTGGTGCTGTTGGAGCCAATCCCAGCTGAAACTGGGTGAGAGGGAAGTCCACCCTGGACAGGTCACCGGTCTGTCACAGGGCTGACATGTAGACAGACATATACACTTCACTCCTAGAGCCAATTTAGAGTCGCAAATCAACCTAAGCTGCATGTCTTTGGACTGTGGGAGGAAGCTGGAGCACCTGGAGAGAACCCACACAGGCACAGGGAGAACATGCAGACGGCACACAGAAAGGCCCCGGGTCGGCTATGAGGCAGCAGCGTTAACCTGCCACAAAAACACTTTTCCTGGTCAAACACAAGTCTTGTCTCATTGCACAAAGCGAATAAACACATCTCCCAAGACATCAGTCTTCCTTTAAGGTTTTCTGTGAGCGAGCCTCTTGTAACCTTGGGAGTTTCAACAACCGGTGAATAATTGATACAGTAAAACAAAAGCTGGATCAAAGACTGGAAGTACGAAGTAAACAGCTGTGACCCGTCCTTCACACCTGCAGCTGTCTGATGACAGTGGAGGAAACAGCTGACAGCCATAGCGCCACTTAACCTGCTCGGTGTCCTCTGACAGGTTTTATTTAGCTTTGATATCTGGGTCTGTTGAAGGAAGGGATGTTTCTACTACACTGTAAATAGGCAGTACTTTGTGAAAACCTGTTTCTCTGTCCTGTTACTAATCAGTATTTCTATGGCTCAGAGCACTAACATTGTATGGTTTCATGGTTTTACTGACGCTGCCTTGTTTGATTCTTCTCTTTACTGACGTCCTCACAGAAAGACACATTTGGAGGATATTAGCTGAAAAATGCAGGAATAATAAAATAAAGGATTACATTATCCTTCTATGAGTATTACTGAAAACAACCCCTAAACCAGTGTGTGTGCACCAGGCCTCCATCTGTTGACATTAGTTTAAACCCGAACCAGGGAAGAATTTACTAGAAAACACCTTGTAAAGTATTTTTCTGAGGCATGGAGCAAGTGCTGCAGTAAAGCTACCATTCAAAGACAAAATGGCATGTGTCTGTATATTTCTTCCATCTCCGGCACTAACCAACCAAGACGCTGCTCACTCACTGTCTCGCTGCTGCACTGAGGCTTCGTCTGCACGCTGACGTTCCCAAGTGGGCCTCTGCTTCTGAGGAGAGACATTTTATTTTTATTCCTCCTGGTAAAATCACATAGAATTAGTTATCAGTCACAGGCCAGGTACTTTTACTCCTGATTCTACTGAGAATACTTTCTACCATTAAGATGTGGGAATTACTTGGAATGGAAGGTGTGAGTACTTCTCCCTTCATATGCTCCCACCTGTGAAAACTCCTGGCTGCAGGCACAAACAGTTGAGTTGATGTAGTTCTGGTAAGATTTTCTTTATCATGTCTCTGGACTCCCTGTAAAGAACCAGAACAGGCAGTGAGCTGGTTGTGAACAGACAGAAGTCACATGTTTAAAAACTACTGGGGGCGTTCACCCAGCCACATTAGGACCTGCAGCAGCTTCGTAGCTGGTGGCTTTGCGGCAGCTCCTCCTGCCATCAGATAACACCCACAGGAGCGTGCCTCTACCTTGGTGATTAATTATGGTTATTATTTGTTTAAATCCTAAAAATGTTAGCTAATCACATTCTGAGGGCTTGTTATTCAGTCTTAAGTTATGCATTAAATGAGTGTGCTCAGTGAGAAGCCAGCGGCTCCATAAGCCTCTGTGACCTTTCATTGATAGAAAAATTGCCAGTGGGCTGTGACTGAATGCAGGCGTAAGAGCACGCTGAGCGGTTCCTCACACTTAATAGAAGTTTAATATACTGTAATATTGTTTATTTTGTGCAGGTGGCAAAATCATGAATAATGACTTCAACGGGGAGTTACAGACCAAAGACTGACAAATTACAAGACAGAAAATATACAGAGGGGTGTTTTACAGTACACTCACTTATTAGCCTGTTAACCTGGTGATTAGAGGTGATAGATATGTTGTGGGCCCACAGAATAAACAAAAGAAAAATAATTGTCTTCTCAGTCATCTTGGTAAGTAATATGAAGTATTTATGCAGCAAAGCACTAAAGTGGAAGAAGAATACGACTTGTACAGCTTGTTGAGGCTGTACCTGGACACAGCAGTGCTTACATGCTGACACTGTCATACCAACATGTTCACCTTCTTACTTCAGTGTACGAGCATCTTGACATTAGCTAATTAGCAGTAAACAGCAATCAGCTGAGGCTGCGTGAACTTTTTGCAGGTGTTTGGTCATAAATCAAGGTGTTGGACACATTCACTGGCTGATCTGAGCTTTGTGGTCACACATTCACTGGCTGATCTGAGCTTTGTGCACATGTCCTCAGAAATCAACGCCATGTGTCTGTGAGATGCAAGTCAGGTCAGCATCTCAACGTCCGTGGTTTTGTAGCTTCTTTGAGCGTTGCCATGTGGTGTAAAGGTTCATACTGGATTACAAGATGGCGCCCAGTTCCTTGCCATGAAAGTTGTGCATGCTCATTCAGTGGAACCTGGCCATAAAATGACCCAGATGCTTCTGTGTTTTGGGTCCACTGAGCCTGTGCACTAGTGCTCCACCAGCTGACTTCCTGTTGGCTCCAAACACATTAATGCAATAAAAATGAGATAAGTCTTCAGATCTTCTCCCAAATGTTACTGAACAAATTAAACACAGACAATAGAGTCGCTTCACAGGGTTTGTGAAAAATGGATTAATTGTTGTACAGCTGTTGCTTTTCCAAAGATTATGTTTCAAATACTTGTTGGTCCAGTGTACATCAGGCAGAGGTTATAGTACCTCAGTATTCAGTTTGGCCATTACACCAAAACTGCTTCACAACCGAGCCTCTTCCTGGGGCCTGGTTCACAAGGAAGGTGCTTCTTTTTTAGCCAGGGATGATAAGGCCCTAATCAACAATGAGCCGGTGTGGCAGCTGTCGGCTGCAGGACGTGCTGGTAAAAAGCAGGTGTATCAGCAGCTAAAGAGTTCCGTGACCTACTCCATTTCTATGAGTTTATCAAAAGGTTACAATCATTTCCAAAATCCAAATGGCGCTAATTGCAGGATGCTAAAATTGGTTACCTATTATCCATCAACCATGTCGTGGCTAAAAGTCATGCTGCTGGGTTTGAATCATTTGAAGAGAACCGCAAGCTTCTAAATTAGGCATGAAAACAAAGAGCTGTACTGTTTTCAGTAGGCTATGTAACGACAGCATCAATAACACCCAACCTCCAAATGATAAGAGACAGAATTCCACTTGTGCTTGATGATAAACAGCTTGAACACCTTACCTACAAAACTCAGTCTGATTCAAAAGTTACATCACCTGCTGTAGCCCACAGACGCACGCACGGTGCTGCGTGCTGCTGAATCCTTCACCTAGTCAAACTGTAGGGCTCTGTATAGCACCTCACTCACATGATCACATCTAACACAGACCAGGTAGAGGTAGATGCTCCCATGGAGGGTGAGAGGTTCAGTGAGCGTACAGGACAAGAAGTGTGAAGGCTGATGGACACACAGCTGCTGTTATCAAACCTGAGACCTGCCATGCCTCCTGTAATTACCAGATCAGCGGAGCAGCCCCAACCCTTACCCCCCACCCCGTGCGGCTCTGGGCATCTGGCAGCAGTGACTGTTCAAGTGAAGGGTTCATTATATTCCCTCTGATAGCCAAGTGCATCTGGGTGGGACTCAGCACCACAGTATGCTAACAGATTCAAACAGGAAGCAGGTTGTCTGACAGAAGCAGGCAGCAAATCTGGCTCATGTATCAGACGCTTTGCTCAGCGAGTCACTCTGCTTCAGCCAAATGTTGAAAAAGCTGGATGAAAGAATGGCTTGTCCTGTTTTTTGTAATCTTATGGAAACATTTCCTGAAACTGATTTTGCATCTTTCCAGCGGGACTGTAAGCTTACAGTGAAGGCTTTCACACTTCCTGTCACTGCTGCATGTGGTGTGTGTCTGTGCGCAGCTCGCCAGCACTGCCACACCTTTGCTCTGTCCTACTCAGTGATTGGTGCATAGTGTCAGACGGTGAGAGCAGGTGAGCTCCACGCTGTTAAAACGTCCAGGGAGGCAAAGTAACAGCAACTGGCTGCACATTAGATGAAGGGACAAAATAGAGAAATGATAATAAAGCACTAAACAAACTCCAGTAAACAAACTCCAGTAGCTGAAGTACAGATCGCATTATTGTGGATTTGGGAGCGGTAGTGCCCAAATCGCCACATTAAAATCAGCTTCAAGAAATTCTCTGAAAAATCGCAGAAGGTAACAAAACGTCAGGCCTCTATTTTTAAGCTGTTAAGGAGGACCCCGGGGTCTCCCAGACAACACAACAACACAGCCATTCTCCATTCAAAATACCAGGACTTGTCCATAATTCAAAAGAAAATGTGCTTTTGCAGCGTTTCCGTGAATTGTGTTTTGGCTCTGGGAACCCTAGACTGATAATTACGCGAACGTGCGTGGGTGGATTGTGTGCGTGTGACTGCGTGAGTGTCTGTGCGTGACAGAGGGTTGGTGCATGTTAGAGAGCGAGGCGAAGAGAGAGAGCGCGTGGGGTTTTGCTCCTCCACCTCTGCCAGGAGACAGACGATGTCGCCTCTGGTCCCATTATTCGGACACTTCCAGCGCAGAAACACTGAGCACCACTGAGCTGCACCTTACTGGTTCTCTGAGCGCAGACAGGTGACTGTGGACCCGGGCTCGGGGGAGGGATGAGCAGCCTGTCACAGACGGCTCGGTTCTCCGCGGAGCGCAGCTATTTGGTGCGTGCTGAGTCGCTCTAGCGCCTTCTCCTTTTTGTCTTCACATCTTGTTTTCAAGCTTGAGGGAACGACCAAACCCTGTCTGATATTTATTCGCAGGTGTGACCAGGTTTGTTAATCTTATTTTTAGTATGACATCAGTGCCGAACGTGGGCTGGGTTATTCACATCTCCAGAGACGGAATACGGGGATAACCTATAGGAATTAACGGAGTGCTTCTCTTCCTCCCTCGCTGATGGTGTTTTTTGGTTTGTTTGTTCCCCCTAAAAATCCTGGAATGGGAGCTCAAGCAACAAGCGACCAGGCTGTGTGCAGCACCTCTACGCACACTTACAAGGGATAACGCATTTGTGAAACAGTCGGTGGCTGGTTTGTGTGCATAGAGGCTCTACCTGAGGAATTACAGTAGTGAAACAAGCTGGCACCTGCCGTTTCCGAGTAAGGTGTGCGTTCTCTCTCTCTGCTGGGTCGAGGACAGGAATGAACTCGTTTGCTGGATTGTCAAACTAACGTAAAAAGTGCCTTGCACCTGCGGTTGATCTACATTTTTCCAGTCGGAGTCTGTGACGGAGCTGCATTGACTGAAGTGTTCGTGGGGAGGAAGACAGACCCAGTCATGGGCAGACACCCTGATACTCTCCCCCAGCTGAAGCCCAGTTTTACATTCCGGGTGCTGTGGTTGGTTCAAGCGTTGCTGGACCTGGCCGGCTCCCAGGAGATTTACGCGCCGCACTCCATCCGTGTGGAGGGCGACGTGACGCTGGGGGGGCTCTTCCCGGTCCACGCCAGGGGGGTCCCCGGGATGCCGTGCGGGGACATCAAGAAAGAAAACGGCATCCACCGGCTGGAGGCGATGATGTACGCCCTGGACCAGATTAACGGCGACGACGAGCTGTTGCCCAACGTCACCCTGGGCGCCCGGATCCTGGACACCTGCTCCCGGGACACGTACGCGCTGGAGCAGTCGCTGACTTTCGTCCAGGCGCTCATCCAGAAGGACACGTCGGATGTGAGGTGCACCAACGGGGAGCCGCCGGTGTTTGTCAAGCCTGAGAAAGTTGTCGGAGTGATAGGAGCGTCGGCCAGCTCGGTGTCCATCATGGTGGCCAACATACTGCGCCTGTTTCAGGTAGGAGCTGTGGCGACTCCTCCTCGTCTGCCCACCCCTGGCAGGCACAGAACCCACTGTGCTCTCTCGTTTAGCAGCATTAACATGAACGTCAGCCACATGCTTCACATGTTCTTATGTAACTCCACATGTCACATGCAGCGCTTCACCGGAGCAGTTCCAGCACCGCTCGCCGCAGGCCCGTTGCCTCTCGCAGACTCCGCTGTACTTGGACATCATTTTTCACACCCACATTCCATTTGCAATGAATTCCTCTAAACAGAGTCCCCTCCCTTCACACTGGCTGAGGTGTGAGCCTGTGAACTGTTTTTGTGGAAACCTCTCTTAGTGTGTGCGTGTGTGAGGCTGGGGCGGGCGGGCACAACAGGCCTGCTCACTGTAATGACTCCTACACAAACATACAGTAGCAGTAACAGCAAATGGCTCCAGCGGGGGTTGAAGTGGTTTGATCTGTAGATTCATACTGATTTAACATGACAAAGTACAATCCAGGTGTTTTCCTCTAAAAATTAAAGCTCTTTGAGATCAGAGGAACCTTAAATATTGTGTGGCCTTGGTGCTGCTGGGTGTTGATAGTCCTGCCAGTGACAGGAAAATGGTTAAAAAGATAAGATAGATAATCCTTTATGTGACCTCCAGTCTGTACAGCGATAGAAAAAAACACACAACGTATGAAATAAAAACATATAAAAAACTTAACCACTAGAAAAAGAAAAAGAAACACCAGCCCTCTCACGCTGTCCCCTGAACCGTCTACCTGACATCTATGATCTCCTGGGCCGTATTAACGACCCTCTGGACTGTTTTCCTCTGAGCCACTGTGCTGCTGTACCATACACATATACAGTATGTAAGGATGCTCTCAGTGATGAGATGTTCTTCCTGAGCACCTGTAGGAAGTACAGTCTCTGCTGGGCCTTTTTAAGCAGTCCAGAGGTATTCACGCCCCAGGTCAGATCCTCCCAGAAAGCAGTAGGCCGGCACCCTCTCCACACGGTCCCCGCTGATATATAGTGGCAAGATGTCGGTTTTCGTCCTCCTGAAGTCGACAATGACCTCCTTAGTCTTTGAGGTATTAAGGAGCATCACACTATCAGCCTCTCCACCTCAACCCTGTAGGTAGTCTCATCCCCCCAGAGGTAAGCCCCATCACCGTGGTGTCATCACAAAATTTTACAATGGTGTTGTTGTGGTGGTTGGGGGTACAGTCGTGGGTATACATGGTGTAGAGCAGGGGGCTCAGCACACAGCCTTGTGGGGAACCAGTGCTGAGGCTCAGGGCCGTGGATGTGTTTGGACCCACTCTCACCCTCTGGCTGCATCCAGACAGGAAGCTCTTACTCCATATGCAGGTGGAATATAGAATTCCCAGGTCCACCAGCTTGTCCACCAGTTTGTAGGGGAGGGTGGTGTTGAATGCGGAGCTATAATCCACAAAGAGCAGCCATGCATAGCTCTCCTCATGCTCCAAGAGCCAGAAGCTCATGTCCTGTTTGGTGCTTTTAGTGAAGTCAGACAGATTCACAAACCTCTGATCTGCTTACCTTTGTCCTGAGATTGCTGTAGGACTACATGTAACTCTCTTATTTTTAGTGTTTATTTCACATTGACTTTATTTTTATTTTGTTTTCAGGAGCATCAGTCATGGTCTGTATTTATTAACCTGTTGTACTAGTGTATTGTTTTTAAATGTAGGTGCAGATGCTCTTGTTTGTGCCTGTTCTGCAGCTCACGTTAAGTGTTGCTCCAGCTCAGATTTAAATTTCACCACCACTTTTTTCCTGCTAAATAAAGAAAGTGAAACTTAAACAACAGTAAAGCAGGTTTGTTGGTTGTTTTGGCTGCTCCACGCCTCCTGTTCGGGGAACATCTATGGATTTGTTTTGGGGGGAGGGTTAGATTGAAACTGAAGACTGGGTGAGATGGAGGAGGGGTGGTGTTTGGAGCAGCAGCTCCTCTGCTCGGTCATGATCGTGACTCCTCTCTCGTTCCTCTCTGCTTTTACTGCTGCTGGTTGAGCACATCACCCCTTTCGCTGTCATCCTGCTAATACCCTCACAGCTCTTCACTAAGTTTTCATGTCTCCCTGTAGCTCAACCTCAGTTCTCTCTTCCTATTATGTTAAAGGTAATTTAACACCAAAGCCACTTTCCTGAGTTAGAGTTATTAAATTACATTTGCAGTCACTGTACTGTGCTGCCTGTTGGTCCATTCTGTGGTGTTCATCATGACAGAAGTTATTTTCCTTTGTCCAGACAAAATCCAGTGATTCTCTCATCTAAACTTCCTCTAAAAAAGATCTATTCCCAAAGTACAAGACGGCGTCATCTTCCCCCATCACACAGTGAGGCTGGATGACTCATTCATCTCCCAGCCGTTCTCACTTCCAGGGCATCAAACCCAGACACCTGTGGCATTACATACAGACTCCAGAGTGTCCATGTACTGACTGGGATGTGAGCGTAGCTGTGATGATGTACAGAGTGAGACGGTCCATGTTAGGAGGAGGTTGTTGCATGGATGGGTGGGTCACAGAACAAACGTTGGACTTTCCCACAGGACAGAGATGTTTGATTTTTGTTTAGCGCCGAGCGCCACAGTCTTGTCCTGAACCCATCCCAGTAGTTTGGGCTCTTAAATAATTTTTGTGCGTAAAGGCAAAGCCATTTATTAACACGCTGTCAAACACCTTCAGCAGCTCATAGACACACTAAAGGGACCATGTAGTGTGTCACACCCTTCGGCTTCTCATACAGATGCCACGGCCAGAGGAACCTGACAAAGTGTTTGATCCCGTTCTGTGGCTATCTCCGCTGAAGCTATGCTAAGCTGACAGCTGACACAGCTCTGAACCACCATCATGTCTGTCAGTGAAGGTGGAGACTTGGGGAGAACTACACCCACTGTTATTTCGTTTAATGTTGGCCAGTAACGTGAGCCGTTACCTGTTTTAGTAGACATTAAACCAGAGTTAGGAATGGTACGGCCCTCTCTGCATCCTGTAGGTGACACCTGGGCTTTAGGTAAGAGCTATGTTTCTGTGACTGCAATGGGCGAAGAAGGCACCAAGAATTTTGCTCACTTAGGACGTCGGTCATGGTGACCCGCCTCTCGGCGGGGGCGGGGGTAAGGCCAAGGCCGGCGTCGCCCGCGCGTGCCGAGTCTCTGTCTGGCTGCTGTGACCACATATGATGTAGTTTCACAGACAGGGCAGGAGGGGTGAAGAGGAGCGGAGGGAAAGGAGGAGGGGTTACTGCCTGGGTTTGTTTTGATCCTCACTCACTCTCTAACAGTCGAATAGTTAGAGGGCAAAAATTAGTTGGAGCTGTTTTAATGGCCAGGAAGCATCTGAACTGAGTGGCTGCCAAGCTCAAGATGTTTTAATAACAGACTCTGAAAGGCAGCTTCACACTGGGAGCAGAAAATGGTTCTTCTATACTAAATCTATCAGAGGGCACAGCATGAAAATGCTGCCTTTTTGTTAGCAGCTGTTGGCTGCCAACAGAAACAGCTGGCTACACTCTGACCTCCAGTTAGCAGTCACAGCAAGAACAACAGAGAGGTGTTTTGTTTTCAGAGATGCATCCGTGATAACCTCGATTGTCCTGATATTAAACCCTGACATGTACATGAACTGCTCCTCTCCACAAGAAGCCCACTGGGCCGTCTGCCTGTAGGGAGCAGGCAGCGCAGGAAGAAATACTAATACCACAGTGTAAAAATACTCTGTTACAAGTCCTGCATTCAAAGTGTTAGTAAAAGTATCAGCCTCCAAATCTACCTGAAGTACCATCAGTACCAGTACTCGTCCTCCAGAACGGCCCGTGTCCCAGTAACGTCTCTGATACTGGATCATAGTGACTAATTACTGTGTCCATCACTTTAATGCTGCAGCTGGTAAAGGTGGAGCTGATGGTAACTACCTTATATACTTATACTGGGAAGTACTTTCCATCCTGCTGGGTAGCTGGTGGATTTCCTACTGGGATCAATAGAGTCTGATGGTTCTACTGGGTTTGGTTTGGTTCTTATATTTATATATACGTATACACATCTTTTTTCCCTAAATGCACATTAGTGCACATTCCTTTTCTTGTTCTCCTGTGTTCTTGTTTCCTTGTTGCCTTATCGAAGCACATTGCACATTGAGAGCCACTGTACCACACTCCTTATGTGTTCAACATACGTGGACAATAAAGCTGATTCTGATTTCCAATACTGCAAACAGACTAATATTTGCAAAACTGCTCAGCAGCAATCAAAGTTCATTTTATTCATTTATAAATCTGGCTGCAGCACAAATGTTAGACAACATATTTCTGCAGTTTTAGCTGAAGGTCAACGGATCAGATGTTGAAAAGGCTGTGAGGTGTGTGTGTGTGTGTGTGTGCATGTGTGTGTGTGTGTAACCCAGCACAGAGGAAAATGAAATGGGAGGGTGATCATTTCCCCTGTGATGGAGAAGTCTGCTGCTCCACAGCTGCTTTCACTTCATTACCCTCCTGATGTTCCTAAATGGCTGATTTGGCAACAGAGTCACACCACAAACACATTAAGGACTCCTGCCCCCACCCCCACCCCACCACAGATCTCGGGTCAGCTCAGAGCCAGAAGGAGATTTTTACAGAAACTTGTGTCCCTGTCATTGGGGCTGTAGTAGTGGAGAAGTTAGACCGATCATCTGCCGCTGCGTCATCTGTTTACCTGTGCTTGTTACAGATGTGGACGTACCACATTTTCATTGTAGTAAAAAAGAATTGTCAGGTATTAATCAGTGTGCTATGACACTGCCAATGACAAGAAGAGACAGCCATGTGCTTAGAAACGTCAAAATGGAACATCAGACTCGGTAGTCGTTGTAATTTCAAGCCAAACCACGACGTTTGCCCAAAGCTAAATATTAACCTCAGTGTTGTCACATCATTACACAGATTAACAGTTTTGAAAGACACAGACTAATGATGGAAAATCCCATCAGAAAACACAGGGAAATAAAGTGC